TCGTCTATTCCAATCCGACGTAAAATTTCCTGCACTGATAGCTTCCGCTATTCTCCTGCATTTCCTCTCTCCATCCATATAATTTAATCTCCCTAAATATTTAAGTTTGCTCTTTGCTTCTCTATCCTCAAACGTAGACCATCCAAGCTCCACCCTTATTGTTTCAATACCCGCGTAAAGTGGGGCACCTAACAGTTCCCTGCCAAGCTGGTTTTGGGTATTTTCAAGAGCTTGGAGAGTACCTGTTCCATTTTTCTTATTCTTATATATGATTATGTCATTTCCATAGGTTAGGGCATGTACTGCTACTGTCTTCCACAGTTCTCTGGTCTTAACGTCTTCTATGGTTACGCTATTTGTTAAGTCCGCCACTTTATCCATTTGGAGGTATACTTCCCTGTTTTGTAAATTGTTGTCAGCCAGGCACGCTCCTTTATCTTCATTTGGCTCTTTCCAATGTTTTGTCATTTCCATGTTAATATCGCTTTTGTTTTCTAAGACGATACCACTATCGTTTTTTATTCTTATTTCATAGCTGGTTTTGACTCCTCCATTCCTGACCATGTTCCAGAAGAGTTTAGCACTCGCCTTCCCTGCACTTCTGATCGACTCTATCTGGTTTTCTTCAAACTTGGCTCGTTTTTCCTCAATGATGTATTTTGCTTTATCTTTGGACTCCTCATACACTTGCCTAACCAGTCTTAATTCCGCTTCGTTTACTTGTTCCCCTTCGAATTCTAGTTTTCTTATTTTTCTGTACCTTCTGTTGGCCTATTGTCTCTCTTGTCTCGCGCTTTTACAGCTTTGGTCAAACCAAGGTCTATCCTTCCTTACCCCTGCTTTGCCTGACGTTCTGCCTATAGCTTTTGTTCCCGCCTCTGCGAGGGCCTTCACTATAGACCTCTCCAATGTTTTAGCATTCTCATAGGGCGAGTATTTTGTCGTTAATTTATTTAGGTTCCTTTCACATTCCCTTTGGAAGGCTCCCCAATCGGCATCTCTGGTTTTCCATGATTTTTTTTATAGTGAAATCTCTGATGCTATCGTTCTTAAATACCTTTAGTACCAGGGTGATTACTAGAGGGAAATGGTCTGTAGTTATGTCTACTTGCCCTTCATCATAAATGTCTATCTTTTTAATATAATTATGGTTCCAACTTAATATATTCACAAGTGCATAGTCTACCGCAGATTTTAGGTTGTTTCGACTCCAGGTGTATTTGCCTTTACATCTTTCATCCTCGTTTAATATTTTTACCCCAGAGGTCTCTGTGAAATCCAATAGCAGTTGCCCATATTTGCCCATCTTTGCCCATATTTTTGCCCATATTTGCCCATATTTGCCCCATATTTGCCCATTTTTGCCCATTTTTGCCAATATTTGCCCATATTTGCCCATATTTGCCATATTTGCCCATCTATTTATAGTCTCTTGTATCATGCCTATGTGCCCGTTAAAGTCCCCCATAAGTAAAAAACCGTATTTATGATTGTTCAGCCACTCTAGCTGACAGGTCAGGGAGTCGTAGATTGCTACATTCCATTCGGGATCCGTGGCCTCCTGGCCCATATACACAGCTTCAAAGGCCCACTTTTCACCTGCCCAAGATGCTCTAACCCATCCTATTTCTGCCCTCGTCATCCCCCTATTCATTTCATTGATCTCCTTTAGGGGTTTTAGTCCTAGACTGCTGCAAGTTATAAACCCTATACCGTACCTCCTCTTTTTTGTCTCTCTACTCTATTCCATCCAATCCAATCCAGTTCATGGGTATTTTTGGTGAAAATATCTGGTTGGAATTCATCCCTGAAGAATGTTTCACCCACCGCCAGTACCCCTAGGCCTTGTATCATCCAGTCGATGGTGTCCTGCGATTTATTTTTTGACTTTAGGCAATTTACATTTAGCCATCCTACTTTAAGTTCATTAATATTGTTTATATCCTTGTGGCTCTGTCTTTCTAGTTTCTCTGGTGGATCTCAGCCAGCAGTCTTGCCCCTTTCCGGTTTAAGTGCAATCGATCTGGCAGATATAGCTCGTGTCTGTCCCAAAAGCATTTCCAGTTGTATATATAGATAGCATTCATATCTTTACATAGGGGCCGGATGCTTTAATTGATCGACAATATCTTTTGATTCACTAGATTCTCCCTGTGGCAAGGAAGTAGCCCAGAAATTGCCAGCTTTCCCTTGACCCTAGCCTTAGCCTTGTACAGAAGGTTGGCCATGTCCTTCCTTGTTGGTTCCAAGTCTTTGTTTAGTATGTCGTTTATCCCTGCATGTATGATGACCGTGCCCTCTTGTTCCTTTCTGTTGATTGATCTGTCTAGCCTATCCGTTATATCATTTGCTCCTGCGCCCGCAAATGTTATTGTAGCCTTGTCTTCTAATGTCCGCTATCGCTGACTGTCTTTGCTGTCTTTCGGACTATCGAGTCACCTAGTACCAGTAGGCTGTCCCTCTCCGGCTTCGTTGTTTCCACTTCTTTCTGCTGTGCAACTTTTTCGACCATCTCCTCCAGTACTTGCTGGCATCCCTTAGTTACTTCTCTTTCTTTCAATATGGCAACTTCTTTCTTGGTCTCCGCCAGCTCCCTCAACAAACCCTCCCGTTCGGTGATCCATTCAGCCTTCAATGTACATAAGTCACAGGTTCAAGTGATATCCTCCGGCATGTCCGCTTCTTTGCTAATATTCTCCCATATTACCCAGTGGCCGCAGAGGGAGCATGGTACCCATCGAGATCCAAATAGGTCTTTCTTTGTGATCCTTTTGGGTCCCATGTTGTTGACAAGTAACAGTATTTATTCAGAGGGTGAATTTGGTGTGCATGTGGCGGCCGAGGTGCACATGCAGCTATACCTGCGTGTGGCGGCCGAGGTGCACGTGTTCTACCTGCTAGTGTCACGTGTTCTACCTGCTAGTGTCATACCACTCGGGTGTTTCATGACTGGCATGGTGTTGACGGTCACCGGTGGCACTCTAGATATGCTTCAGTCATGGGTGCGCGAGCACGCACGCACACACACGCACACACACACACACACACACACACACACACACACACACACACACACACACACACACACACAC